ATGCCTCAGTTGATTGGTTAATTGATTATGCCTCAGTTGATTGGTTAATTGATTATGTCTTGCACCCGTTCCTTGTTTGCTCCAGTTTTCTGTGTATTTACGTGTCTGCCCTGCTCTGTTCTCCAGTCAGTCATTTCAGTTTGTGTTTCTGCGTGCTTTTGCTTTTTGTTAGCGTGATCTGTTTTGTTTTAATAAACTCCTTTGTCTTGGAGCTATACGTGGATTGTCACTTTCTTCCTGCCTGTCATGCCCCAAGTCCGTAACAGAAAACAGTGTTTGTTTTGAAATTATTTATTATTAAAACTGTAATCACAATGAGGAACAGTTCCAGTCGAAAGACAAAGCATCTGTAGATGTGTCTGAATAACAAAATCTAAGAGACGCTTATATGCACTTTGTAAAAACAGTTATGAAAAATATGGAGTAGTACAAAAACCTAATAAAATAACAATCGTAATGAACTAATTCGCATGTTCTCTGCAACTGAGTTTGAGGGGTTATCTGTAGCGATAAACACTCATAGCCTATAATTATTTATCAGCATGGTCTGAATTTTCAGGTAAAAGTGCTCTAAATGCCAAAAGGAGACTATAATTGCACAGGTGGTTTCTGCTTTGATTCCGTCCTACACACATTCGGATGATGTCATCACACATTCGGATGATGTCGTCACACATTTGGATGATGTCGTCTTGAATGAGTTGGCATGTTTGCTTGTATTTTCACAGAGCCCCTTGTCATGGTACAAAAAATATATATTATTTCGTAGTAATTCATGATCTCAGGTGACTAATTCATGTGCTCGACTTAATCACCAATCAGAGAGCACGAATTGCAAATTGTATTAAATTGTTTCGTTGTGCTTACTAAACAAGAACTGTACAAAACAAATAACCCCTAATATGTAGCTAAAATGACGTATTCAGATGAATTGTGGCTGCATATAATCAATGAAAAAAATTAGATTATCTAATAAAATTATTTAGGGCATCATTATATAGGCAAGTTCCCCTTTTGGGTGGGGCTTCCTAGACGATGGGGCCCCCTGGTGGACGGGGCTGGTGTGGCAGCACCAGTTGCACGGCCCTTTCAACAGCTTGGTGTACGTTAGTGAGGGACTTCGACTGAGCGAGTGACGGTAATGGGAGAGGACTAATAAAATGCAGAGCAGTGGCTGGATGCCTCCATATTGGTCACAATTTCATTCATCGCTGCTGGCATTTTATGAATAATTGAGACGGCGGTGTCTTGGTTCTGCTGCCCCCCTCCCACCTCCCCCCACACAGCGACTCCTGGTGCCTTAACACGCACCCTGTCTGAGAGAGAGAGAGAGAGAGAGCCGCAGCAGAGTCCAGGAGACAGTTCCTGGCAATTAAGCTGTGCTCTCATCCCCAATCTGTCAGGCATGGTTTCCACTCCAGAAACATCTCAAGCAAACTTCCCGTCTCACAGCACCTATTGCTTCAGTCCGTCCCATGGTGATGCTCTTTGAAAAAGTCATCACACACCCCATTACTTATTAACTCCTCTGTGTAAAGAGGAGCATTGACTTGTCAAGGATTTCTGCCCAGTTTTGAGCAAAGTCTCACGATAAGGCTTGGTGTGGGCATCTCAGGGCCTGCATATGGGGCATATTCCCCTCTCTGCTTGCCGGGCCGATGTAAGAGCGATCTGTGCTACATCTCTGCTGTTGTGCTTCCGGAGCAGAGCCCATGAACTCACATGGAATCACCGTAAACGATAGTTTAATGAACAATAGTTTTTCATATAATGAAAGATGCACACCTTCCCTTTGGCCAAAGCCTGTGGACTCATGATAGCACAGGCCTACGTGAAGAAGCAACCCCTCCAATCAGACATGAATAATGGATCAGCTCTCACTCCCCGCATGCTGCTCTTCTGTGCTGGGAATCTTCTCAACTTACCTTTATAACAAGTGTGTTATGGCATCGCACACACTGGGCATTCCACCAATCAATAATGCATAGCTGCCTCCCTGAATGGAAGCCTTCACCTATGAACTTACACCCTGTGCCTTTGTCGCAGGGCTGGGCTGCCCGTACTGTTGGTACCCTGCACTTCCTAATGTATGGCCCATTTTATCCATCTTTATAGTATTGCTAATTTAATTTACTCTCCAGGTCATCAGAGGCAGTTTCCCACATAATGATGTTACTGTAGGTCTAACTGTTGCTACCAGAAACTAAAGATACATGACAGCGTTAATAGGGAATGCTGGGAATAAATAATAATAATAAATAATGATGATGATGGTAATAATAATAATAATAATAATAATAATAATAATAATAATAATGAGAAGAAGAAGAAGAAGAAGAAGAAGAAGAAGAAGAAGAAGAAAAAGAAGTAGAAGAAGAAGAAGAAAGCTTGGTTATAGAGCATTTTGACTTCAAGACCGACTGGCGATCTATGAATTACTTTCCCTTAATGATCACGCTTATTATTTTCGCACGTTTTTCGCAGTGGTACATCTGTGGCATTTAGTTCCTAACAACCATCAAGGAGTGTGAGCCATGAGGATGTGTGTGTGTGTTGGGAGCGTCTCAAAGACAGCGGGATCCCCTGGGACTGCAGCAACAGGTGTCGGCTGATGAAAAACATCCCCGATCGGACCTGAAACCTTTCACTGGCTATCATGTGATAGCTGTGATGCTATCTTGCGCCATACACCATGCGTTTCATCCCTCTGCGACGTTCCTGAAACTGTTTCCTATTGGTATCACCTCCAATCGTTTGTAGCATTCATTATTGATGTCTTTTTTGTCATCAGTGCCTTTTACGGTGCCTTTACAGTACCTTTTGTGTAGAAATAATTTGTGTGAGTACGTCTAATATATTTTATTAGCGTCGCAGCAGAATAAGGCCCTGCACGAGGCAAAGTGTCAGTGACTGCCGGCCCATCAGCAGCAGCGAGCGCGGAGCGCATTCTTTGGTGTTGAATATCGTATGTTTGTTGCTATTGCTTCCAAATCTCGCAGAGGTTCCTGATATAGTTCCACCTTCTGTTTCGTAGAACACACGCACTTTTACTGTGAGACTAGATTATCACTCGTCTTTAGAACATTTAGCGTCCCTTTGTATTTTAATTTTGAAAGCTTGGTCAAAAGAGTGGGAAGAAACATTTACGAGGCGTTTTCTGTGACAATACCCGTTGCGGTTGTTTACCCTTTGAAGCTCACAGGCGGGAGACTTTAATGCTCTCCCTTATGCGTGTATTGCATGTCAGCCTAAACCGATTGTAAGTTTTAGATAATCACTCTTGAATCGTTCCTTCACACCTCAAAGAGAATAATTCATAAACCAGGTTCGTTTGGTCTCAAAAGCAAGATATGCTTAACATATTAATGATCCTGTAGGAGAAACGATTTGTTCGGTGATGTCTGAGATACTCTGGAGAAAAATGCCATCTATGAAATGTTTTTTGTGTATTACAGTAGATTGCGAATTAAACGTTTTAAAGCACACCTTCAATAGTTTGTGGTGACAACACAAATGTCACCACACGGTTTTACTTCTGTTGTTAATGCTGTTTTATGATTTAAAAAATGGGTTGGCCTATATATATTCTGCTCGTTTTAACAATTATTTAAAAACAAATTTCATATAAAGTAATCACGAGGACACATGCCATGTGTGTGGCATTCCGTTCACATGTCACTAACCATTTTTATTCGTAAATCAGGATGAACAGAAATTCCCTATTGTACGTCGAAGCGCCGGTCAAGCTATTTCAATTTCAGAACGTTCATTTTATTTTCAATATGTGTATGCTTTTAAAGACAACGATTAATGTAAGATGACTTTGTTGTGACCCTAGAATTATCTAAAAATAGTGTTTTCATACATTGATATTCGATTTAACAGGCCTAACCGGTAAACATTACCGCCCATCCATCCATCAATATGACATCCTTGATACATATAACTAACTGGATATAAAGTTGTTGTACAACCATCTATAAGTGGCTTTATAAATTCATGTGTTTATCTTATAGTTTCAAATAGAAAAACCGTAATAGTAGCAGTAGCCGTTGTCTCTTTCGTCGTCTCAACAACCCCGTTCTATAATTCAATAAACGAATATTACAGTATATTATGCATCATCACACAATGCACTAAAAGGCGACAATTCACACTGTGAGGCACAAAGTTATTATACAATAAAACTACTCAGCAAAGAGAGCGATTAAACACTATTTGATATCCTTTTATTTAGCGTTTGGAAGTAGTTAAAATGTGTCAGTCAAGTCTATACCTCTCTGTAAAATATTAAAAAATGCACTTTTCGTTAATCTTTTATCTTTGTCGCTCGAGGAATTCATAAATAAAATACATCATAATGTGTTTTGCTTTTCTCACTTTCATTCAGCATAATTTATGCACAGTTCGTAACAAAGTGTATCATATTTTCTATCAAAGGTGAACATGTGACACGTCAATATAACGATGAGACTTTCAAAAACAGCTTTATCTTTTCTTTCAAAATCTTAAAAAGATCTCTTTTTACGAAAAGAAATTGCTTTTTTCACTTTGATAAAATATTAATAGCTGATTGCTGAAGAAAAAAAACAGAATTTCACAGGAATAAATACGTTGTAGCTTTTGAAAAATTATTTTATTGATTGACATCAAAACTAATACATGTTTGGTCAAGTATAATTTGCGATGTGAAATCTCAATATACATAACAAAATGTTCGATGTTATAGGCCTGTATGCATATACATATACACTCTTATAGAGTAAGATGACAGACCTTCATTCTTATAGAATAACGTCAAATATGCACTTTTATTAAAACTATATACTATTTGCATTTGGTGCATTCGGTGCAAACCCAATAAGTTAAAGCGAAAGCTTTTAATGGTGAGTAAAACATGTCCTTGTTTATTTTCATAACGGATTAGAGTATTTGTCGTTAAAATGTGATTCACTGAATTACAGCTCCCTTCGAAGAGACACACATACATTAAATACATACATTTAAAAACGAAGCTTATTATGCTTAAACGGAAAAAAAACCTATAAAGCAATTATAAAGAAATGCATGTAAATTTATCATTTTTTAAAGATTTTTTCCACAAACAGAATGTATAGTGAGCTGTACATACCGATCGGATTAAACTGTAAAAAATGTAGGCTATATATGTAATTTATCGTAAGGGAAAAAAGACAATCAAATACCATAATGAGCATCAAACATCATCAAAGTGACAAACATTTTACCTTTGTGAACGTCACGTAGGCTACTTTATATTATTTTCATTTGATAAATGATACGCGGAACAAAATCAACAAAAGGGAACGAAAACTTTAAATGCAAATGATCGCGAATCCATTAATTGATTAACTAGAATCCTTAGAAGTCATGGAAGATCCCTGCTATCGGCATGTAAGACACGAGTAACACCAATGAATTATCTAATGTACTGCTGAGTATTTCATCCTTTTCTGTTTTTGTCTTTGATTACAAAACCAAACTCTAACTACGTTCTTTTTAAGGTCCAACTTTTCTGCGATGGCAGCGATTTTTTCCGAGGATGGACGGGGCTGGATGGCAAAATACGCCTCCAGAGATCGTTTCTCAGGTGCTGCTATCGAGGTGCGTTTTCGCTTCCGCTCGTTTCCATTGAAAAGTTCCGGCTTGCTGTTTTTCTCTCGATATGCCGCTTCTGCTTCTTCCAGCCAAGCTTGAAGGACGGGCTTGAGAGCAATCATGTTATTATGAGACAGAGTGAGAGACTCGAACCTGCAGATGGTGCTCTGACTGAGGGAGCCGACCCCAGGTATCTTGAGGTTGGCGAGGGCGGACCCAACGTCAGCCTGAGTGACCCCAAGCTTGATCCTCCTTTGTTTAAACCTTTCAGCGAAGGCTTCCAGCTCTCGCGGATCCGATTCCACATCGTTGATGCACGACATCCCGCTATGCGTGGACAAAGGGTGCGGGTGACTCATACTCATTGCTTGGTGAAGGTGACCCATGGTCTGTAGGTGATGCTGATGCACTTGAGCGGACATCACCGACGGATCTGGTGCCCCCATACCATTCACGGTTAAACTTGAGGAAATGTGGTCCAGTAGATCTCCTTCCAGAGTTTGATGCACGTGGTGATGGGAGGTCAGAGTGGATGGGTGAGAGATGGGTACTGTGGAGGAGGTAGACGTGCAGGGGACACTGCTCATGGTATGGTAGGTCACGTCTGGCTTGAAAGGATGACTCTTGCCGTGGGAGACAATGTCAACAGCCGCCAGAGCTTCGGCGCGGGCCAGCAGACTCTCATCAAAGCCGCCGAATATATTGCCCTGGAGCTGCAAGCAGGAATGCGCATATCGGAGTCAGGGGGGAATTCTGTCAACTCTGGATTAAAAAACATTTCCAAGCACAGAGAGAAACCTCCTCAAAGCACAGGTCATAAAAATTAATATGAAGGCTGAGGCATTGCCTCAATAGGCATGTGGATCACAGGGAGACAGGGTGAGAGAAGGAGAGAGAGAGGGGCGGGGGGGAGAGAGACAGGAGGGAGGGAGGGAAATAACGAGAGCACGAGAGAGAGGTAGAGCGGAGTTTGATTGTTTTACCGCCATGAAAAAAACATTAAGCTAATGTCCGTCAAAAAAGTGCCTTTAAGCAGTAATTATGGAGATTTACGTACCTGCGGGGCTGGTAAGCAAACTCTACGCATAGCTTCCGAACTTGAGTGGAGACCGGAGTACTTGGGCTCCTGTAGAGCTGGGTGCATTGAGAAATTCTGCTTGCCGTTCATGGCCATCATCTTGCTTTACACACCTTGCGGGTAGGTATACCTGACATACGTAGGCGCTGGGGCGACTCCCTGGCTCGCCGCTGTCAGTCTGAGCTATTTCCAGTGACAGAGCCTCTCTGTATGCATCTCTCCCCACCTGCTTCTTTACTCATCTTACAAGCCGCGCGCCAGGAATAGGACTGGGAGCTGTGCGCAAGCGTGCTGCGCGCGACGAGGCAGGGAAATTAACCGGGGGATGCGAGATCATTTAGCTTCAAGCATTTTGTGCAGCTTGGCTTCTGTACAAGCCACACTGTTTTAATCACAAGGGTACGCATGGGGAGACAGTGAGGCACATGACACCGCGTAACAAACGATTCCTGTTAGATTTCATTCAGAGTACGTCGCGGGGGTGGTTTGCGGGTCGTTTGCACAACTAAAGTCCAGGTACTGATACTCGTCTCAACAGACTTGCCTAGTTAAAATGAGCAACGCATTAAGTTCGCATTAAATATAACTAACTACCACCTTGCACATTTTCTAACAATGGGCCGTGCATGTAGCAGGTAGGCTATGAATTGTTAGCCCAATATTTAATTACATTCAGTTGCAATTTATATGCAGTGAGTAGGTTTTAGCACATTTCACATTTAGGGATCATAATTATTACCATATTTACAGTTGGATGGGATCCCATCAGTATTTGCTGGCAATTTATGTACAACTACTTAAAACCAGCATTCAATACAAATTTAAAATAAATGGTTAGTAAACCATATAAAATAGGATAGTTTGAAAAATTGTACTATAATATCTTAGTTACTAGTTGTTAACAATGCTATTTAATAAGATGATAATTCTGGTAATATGCTTGAATTTAATTAATAGGTGTCCAGAAAGTTCATGATTCATAACCCAACCCTGTAACTATAATAAATACTCCAATGAGAGATAGTAGCACCAATAGCTTCAGATAAAGATAAGTAATCAACACGTGCTCCTTCCCGGTTATACAAAATAGATAATATACAGTCTCATTACCCTTAACGTTTTAATCACGGTGGTTTTAGTTCAGGACCGTGGAGAGCTCACGTTTTGAAGAAGCGCGTTTTAAGTCGCACAGTCCTCAGAAAGTGGAATCTCGACCATTTTCCTCAGCCCGCGAAGTAACAACAGAGTATTCATAAGATCCCAAGTGAAAGCTGGGCAAAAAGTAGTGGACGAGCCGCGAATGGTAAAAAACAGGAGTTGATCTTACAAGAAATAAGCTTCAACTAAGGAAGGAAATCCGCTTCTTGTCGCATATACACGCGCCGATTTCCATAAAACATTTACAGTAAATCATTTATATTTCACGCGGCCTAAATAGTGTTATAAAAGTTTTATTTAAAGTGGTACCATATTTAAAGCCCGCCTTTGCTCGGAGGTAATTAACTAGAGTATAAATTGTATTAGCTTTCCTTTGAATAATTAATTCAATGCAATTCCGGCTATGCCAATATCCAAGAATGTCGATTATCGCTCGTTAAAAGGTTTTCTATGCAAAAAGTAAACCTAAGTGGTCTATAGTTGTGTTTACTTAATGCAATGTGCAAAGTAATGTATAAAATCAAGTGAGAATGCATACCAAGAGACCGTCCATCCACACCCTGCATCTGTTTGAAGAGTCATTGTTAAATGCTTAGTTGCTGAGAAAGAACACCCATATTCAAAACTGTATTATTGCTATTTTACCCACAAACATGCCTGGATATGTTCATTGAAGGATTAATGAGGCTGAATACCGTATTCAGTCGGACTCATCGCGGTAATCAGCTTTGTAAGTATGTGTGCTGATTTATAAATATTTCATTCGGTTACATACAGTCATACATAGCGCTTCCCCGATTACAAAAAAGTTTTAATAACATTTACTACAATTAATCTAGGCTGTTAGAACCCGCGCATCTCGTGCAAAGCGTGGGATTTCCAGGAACACTTGGCTGAGGAATTCCTCACTAGAAGCTGGCTAATCGGCGTCACCCGTATTTCTTTCAGGGAACAGAGAGCTTGTGGTCAGCCACTGTCTACCCCAGGTGACCACCTGTTTGCATTGCTCCTGCAGTTTCCATGCTCGCTGAATTGCACAGATGAAGATGTCGGTCAGGCCAGTGACGATTGTTCCATTGCAAAATCTGATCCAGTCGGACTCTCTGGTTACCCAGACGCTGAATAATTCAGCGCGAGTGCGGCAGGCATCCGTTACCTTGTAGAATTTCTATATTCGTTAAGAAGATTAACCGGTGCACTCTAGCCGAGTAGAAAATCTATCACACACAGACCACACATCACTGAGAAAGAGATTTTGGTTCTTTTACGGCTTTCGTTTTTGGCTGAAATAAAACAAAATATATATTCAGTATACAACAACCACACGCGTCACGGAGAATCTGAACAGGATACATGGGCTGAAAAATATCGCACAATATACACGCCAAAGGCCTTTGAAGTTTACTAAGAACACAGATTTAAGTAGAAACGAGAGAATGTTAGGGAACTTCGAAAAAAGGTATAATATTGTAGGGATATCTTCTTCTTTTGACAGCTCATACGGAATTACATGATTTTGGGCATGCGGCCAATGAATACAAACTGATTACTGACATCAGTATACGCAGCTGCAACAGCACAAACCTTCATTCAGATGTCAGATAAAGTGAAATATTCAGATAACTATATAATAGGGTGCACTTACTGATGATTATCTGTGCTCTAATCTGTATACATTGTCTATTAACTGGAGTGGAAGTCAGTGTTATGGACAAACGCATTTTTCAGTCTCTCAGGGCCGACGCTGCTTTAGGTGACAGGCGATCGCCTAGGGCGACATTAGGGAGCACGAAAGAGCGAGTGGGGGAAAAAATCAGAGGGGATGCCCTGTGATTGCATTATGTGATATTAGCTATTTACACTATTGTTAATATTTCACTGCTTTTCTCGTGAAACAAACACCAACAAGCTAGTTAACAGCCAAATACCCTTTGCAACTGAAATTTTTTAAATTGGGGGCAGTGGGGGGGGGGGGCACAGAATCTCACCTGGTGCCAGAACACTCAGGGTTGCCTGCGGCCTGGCCTGCATGTATCTGTAAGATGCTGAGGGTGATGTACTTCCTGCACAGGTCTGGACTCCCTGAACGGGATGCAAGCGTATGATCACCGTGGACTGCAGAGGACATGAAGTTCTGGGCCACTTTTAATCCCAGTCCAGCCTGGGTTCTGCGTATGTGGTTCTCATACATTGATGGTTTTACCAAATCCACGTTGATACTGAGAAGCATGGCTATTGCAGCAGGTTCGAAAGGCGGGCCATCGCGGGAGGGTTACCCCTGACTGGGCAACTCCTTCATGCTTTAGCAGGATAACGAGTCAGAACATACCTCCAAAGAAAGGAGTCAAACGAGTCACCAGACCTGCCAAGGCTCCAGACCTCAATGCCTTTGAAGTAACTGGACAGTCAAAGAAAGAAATCGACAATCGGGAAGTTCTTCATAAGAATGCAACAGAGGAGCAGGAACAGCACATAGTTACTCGGGGAGCCGGCGCCACTGGCTGATGGATCAGATGTAATGTTACAACGTACTGCAAAATCTGACTTATTCAATTCGCTTAATAGTTATATAGTGTGTTTGACAGCAGTCACCCCAAAGCTCTTTACATGGCTGTACTGTGATACATCATTAAGACAGAATAATATGAAAATGGAGGGATGGAGGGGAGGAAGAAAAAAAAAAAAAAGCCAGAAGACAGCAGAGGAAAGGAAGCAAACCCCCCTCCCCCCAAGGTATGGTAACATTATGGGAGAGGGGGGGCTGGCTTGCTAAGACAGGGGGCAAACGAGGGGTAGGCCGCTCTGATCCTGGAGTGCTGGTACCCGACAGGTTTTCCCGGCTGTAATCTATGGTCAAGGACGTACCCAGTATCGCCCCACTATTCCTGATCTCCGGCTGAAATGGTTCCCCTTCCCAGTCCTCAAATCAGGAGAAAAGTCGAGATCACAGTTTGCCATGCTTCCAGAGTTTTATCGTTTGAAGCCAGACTTAGGCAGCAGGAGTGACAATGACAATGACGTGACAATGAAGACAGAAGAGATAACGGATAAAGTTGTTTGTTGACGTGTCTTTTTGCATGAGGGCCAGAGAGCACCGCATTAAGCCGAAGTGAGTTTCTCACATGACTTACCGAAGTAGAACAGATGCACAATTTAGCAGTATTTCAAGGAGTCAAATTAAATTTCTGAAGCGGGACTGAGATGCGCCGGGTGAGAGCTGATGTTACACGGATGCTTCCAGCTTCTTGGCTTAAGGCTAAGGTGCAATTCCACATAAAAATGTTTACTTGCCATCCTGGGCTATTTGTCTGCCCTATAACAAGCTCCTCTCCCTCACCAAACATCTGCACATAATCTGTGGTCAGCAGTAGCCCTCATAGTCCTGTCTGAACGCTCCTTATAAAAACTCACCTGCAGCTATAATACACCAGCCCTATCATAGATGACAATTTACAGCAATACCGAATGTACCCGAATACACATTATCATGATACTTTGTAATCCTTTAACAAAAGCCCCGAACAAATTATTTCCATCACAGGACACAATGCAGGGGATGTCCAGGATGGGTTATACATCAAGTTCCAAGCCCCCCAGCAATAAAAAATACTGGAACAGTGCAAGGAGACGGCACTGCAGCATCAGTCCATCAGCTGGACAAACATTTGGAGAGTCGTCATACGAGTTTAAAATTGCCCATTAACAACTCAGCATATGGAAAACAGGTACTGACACACTGAAGAGCATCACCATGCGCTAAACAAGCACAGCAAGATGGTTGGTTAGCATTCATCCACCTTCCAATCACTTAGCCAGTAGCGATTGGCTGAGATGCCCATCCCAAGGGACATGGGCAAGATGGCACCTTTTTGCAGGATGCCAGTCCAACGTAGGACAAAGGCACTGCAATGGAAGACCAATTGTGTCTAAATACATGTGGTAACTTCTCTGAGGAAATATGCAATGGTTAATAAATATGTGAATTACATGCATGCAGAGCTGGGCCAGGATTCAAACCTGCGACCCCATGTCAGCCTGTATTACACATGCAGGTACTGTGGCGCCCCCAGGTGGTCACTTCATCACATTTAAATTGAGCAAAATCCAGAAATCCCGACAACTTGCACACCAAGAACACACAAAAAACAGAAAGACAAAAATGTGGGATATATATTGGAATGGTTCCTTTTTTCCAAATTAGATTTTTTTAGTCTGCTTTTTCTCTGTTCTTTCCTCAAATTATTATTATTATTTTTTTTTACCTCCCCCCCCCATTGCTGCCATTCCATTGTCTTTATTGGTAAAAGCCAACATGCTTGTGTTAGAAATTGATAATATAAACAACAAATCAAAGAGAAAATTACATCCACAGCTCCCCGTGTATAAACAGTAACAAATCTGAGCACTTAGATTTCACATCACTACCAAATAACACACATTTGCACAGCCTGCCATTAAATGAATGAAGAAACATCACCGCATGTGACTTGGGGTGTCAGAGAAGGTCAAACTTAGGGAGGAACAACCACCGGACAGCAGGATACCAGGTGGAAAATTTCTTTCTCCATTAATCAAAAAATGTCAGCCAGATTGCAACATTAAGATCAACTGGAAGGAACTCAAACTACAAGTATTGTTGTATCTGGCCAGACACAGCAAGGGATTTTCCAACTGTCCAATCTTTAGAAAAGGAAAACCAGCTTAATATTCAAATCATATCAAGGCGAGCAAATTAACACCAAGCATGCTTTGGCTTTGAGGGGAACCAGTGCGTCCCGCGGGGGGGTCCGACCTGGTCCTGTCACTCCCACAACACCCGGCATCACTGGAGTCTCCCATTTAAGACCCACCGTTCACTAGAGACCCTTAACAAGACCTTCAGCCCCCAGGTCACATGAAAGGAAATTTCTTCTTGCTGTCATGTAAATCCAACATTATTCTAAGCTAGTCTAAAAATAAAACATATCTACAATGTAGTTATTCTTATTGCAGAGGTCTGTACAGAAAAATACAGGAAAAATATATATAAAAAAAGCAACTGACTCCTGGTAAACTGGGAATAAGGCAAAACCTATATACAAAAAACCATAATAATCCAAATCTCTGCATGCTGCAATGTATTCCAGTCTCTGTAACAGGGGCATAAGAAAGGCCAAAAAGCAACCCCACCCCCCGCCCACCCCCCCCTCCTCATCAAGCCCACTTGCTTCTAAGGCCAAAGTTCTCTTTGGGTGATTATTAATAGAAACATACATTTCAGGGGTCACAATGAATACAATTGACATATGCATTCAATGTTTAAAAATACTGGCAAAAAACTAGCTCTCCCACATTTGGATCAGGTCTTGATATGTATGTAAAGTGGCGAGTACAATTAAACAGGAGAAGGTTCAAATTTCCAGTACACATCGGGGTTTAGCTTACGTATTTAAAGCCGTCTCAGGCTGCCACGGCTCGCGCTAGTGACCTCATTTCCTGTCGGGGCCCAAACGCGTTAGATACAGCATCAGGTTACAGTTTTATGCAGCCTGTCGATCGGGATGTAAGATCCACGAATCATCCACAGCTCCACTTACACGACTGCTAGGGCAACAAGGAACTGGCCCAATAGAACATCCAGTCAGAACTACATATCACGACTCAGTTTGTGTATTTAACCTTTATATACATTTGAACAAGTTTTAATTTCTAAAATAAAACCTGTGACAATAGTGGCAGATGTTGGGTGAGACTCAAACCAAACTACAGGGAACGTGGGCTCTTTGAAAACTGAGGGTAAACTGAAAAATTCGGACCCAGACTAAAATAAAAAAAGTTCTGCTTTATCTGTATCTGCGGACACAGTAAAAACTCGGAGGTTACTTGCAGACTGCTTTAGTACGAAGTTAAAGCGCCGCTTCCGGGAGACGCACTCAGCCGTTACAGTATATCCCGCCCTTCGCGTCTCAAAAAACTTGAAACTTTAAAAAGTGATTTCCACCTTATTAAATACAGGTAAAGTTTTAAAAAAATAATCGAGTCCTTTTCACAAAAAAGGTCGACGTTCAGAGCCAATTCATCTCCTCCAGGAGCGGCTCTCATCCTCGTCCTCCTCGTCTTCGTCCTCCTCGTCCTCCTCTGGGAGCAGCAGGGAGCTCTCGGCCTCCTGTGGAGGCAGAGTCACGCAGCGGCTCGTTAGACGGCAGAAGGGTTAAGACACTGAGAAGGCATGACGACGGCATCATCACGCCCCTGAAGCGCTTAAAGCAGGCGCCTGGTTCTTAATCACGCTCGGCAGGGCCGACTCCCTTATCCGCAGCCGCTGGGAAACCCGCCGTGCCAAAAAGCACATACCTCCAAACGGCCAAAAAAATTTGATGAGTGTGTATACTGGTTTAGAGTATGGAGCCCTGGACAGGGACGGATTACGGACCGGGCCAGCAGGGCCGCTGCCCAGGGGCCCTTGGGGTGCAGGGGGCCCGTGGGGCCCCTAGCCCAAAACAATTTGCAACGCTTATCAACAATGTATTTTCGTTTGTCTATTTTAGAGGGCCTACATTCTTTCATCCTCTGCCTACAAGGGCCCCTGACCCTATAGGGCCTCTGATGGAAACATGGAGGGAGGGCGTTTCGCTGCCAAGGGCCCTTGAATTGTGGTGGTTGTGGTGGTGGTGGTGGGGGGGGGCTCGCGAACTTTTTGCCCAGGGGCCCACACAACCCATAATCTGTCCCTGGCCCTGAATGCTTTAAACAGCTCAGCTCTGGGGACATATTCATGGCTTGGGGGGGCCCATGGCTGTAACGTGCTGGGGGCCTGTTCCCTTTGGCCAAAGGGGCTCTTACACCAAATTCTCCAAAACAACCGACTCTCGGGCCAACAGAAGCTGGGCATGTCCCCGGTTTGGCCCCCGATCACGTACATTCAGTTCCTCCTTGGACTCCTCCTCTTCCGGCTCCGTGGACACGGACGGAGTCTTCGGCTTGTACCATGACATCTGAAGACTGCGACCTTTGAACTTGGCACCTTGGTTTGCAGCCTAAAACAGAAGGTTTATTTAATAGGATCCTTGGAAACAACTCACGGCAGATTCAGGCGGTGAGAAAGCCTTTTTATGTGTCACTGAAAGGATATCGAGTTAAACAAAAAATAAATACAGTGGTACCTCAGTTCTCAAACTCATTAGAACTCAAATTTCTTAAAAGTTGGAGCAACCAATTTGAGAAAAAAAAATATACCTAGAATTCGATCTGAATCTCAGATGTCAAACCGTGAACGCCGACCTAAGATAACTTGTACGCGCGGGGAAATGAGTCACGCGGCACGTCTCTCAGCGGAAACAAAGGGTAACGCTTCAGTCTCAGCCTCACATTCGCTGTGATGGCACCGTGCATGTTTACACAAGCTGAATACATATATTTAGACAGTAAAAACACATTTAGACAATGATAGACAGTAACTAATTATATAATAAAATACATTTTAAAATAGATTTCTTATTATAATAATAAACCATTAATACATTTAATTATAATAATATTGTCATCCTGAGCGGGGACAGAACGGAGACAAAGGCGCAGACGTCAGGGTATCGGGGAATACGGGGTTTAATTACAGGTAAGGCAGGCAAAACGCAGACGGACAATACAATGACCAGACTGGGGAAACAAACTGAAACGCGGACTAAATACAGAGGACTAATGACAACAACCAGAAACAGCTGATCACACGGGGATTCCACATGGGGTTAACGAGGGGGCGTGACACACAGAAGGAGAGGACGATCGGGGCATGATACACTGTTTTGGTTTTTTTTTTTTTAACTTTACACATTGTTTGGATACATTTATTTTCTTACTTTAAAAATTACTGTTTTGATAAATGTGCTTAGATGTGTTTAGTGCAGTATATGCTCTTGTTGTTTTGTCCAGTTCATTTTACGTTTAAATGCTAAAAAAAACATTTTGGTGTAATTTTTTGGGGCCAGGAACCAATTAATTGGTTTTCCATTATTTCTTCTGGGGGAAATTCCCATCAGAACTCGAACTTTTTAGGATTCGGTCTGGAGTTCTGAACGGATTAATTTCGAGTTCTATGGTACCACTGTAATAAAATAATAAAAAAAAAAGCTTATTTGATCAAGGACGGTGCCTGCTTCTCCACTCGGGGTCTCCCCAATCCCACTCAGAGAAGCCCCCTCCGTAGGGGCAGCGTCACACACAATCGCTGTGGATCATCAGCAGGCCCTTCAGGCCAGACTTACATTCTCAGCGTCACTCCGCGTCTTGAAGGTCATAACAACACTGGTGGCATCGTGGTCACGCAGCTCCTCAATCTCCCCATATTTCTGTAAGGCACAGGAAGTGCCGCAACGCATTAAGTCACATGGGCACTTTCAGCAGATTCACAGGAAGTCATGGAAGCACAGGTGCTTTCATTGAGTCATTCGCTTTGAAATCGTACCACAAAGTGGCACATCAGCTCGTCCTTCTCCTCTCTGGACACTCCATGGATGGCCAGGGCTTTGGGACGGTGATCCACCACCATGTGGTTACCCCCGCCTCGGCCTCTCAAGCTGCGGCCCCGCCCCCGGCCCCGCCCCCGAGGAAGGGTGACCTTGCCTCGTCCAGCCGGGATCAGGCCTAACCGTGCAGCCTGGGGGAACACAAGGGTATGCAGAGGGGAGCCCATTTTAGACACAACAAGGCGAGGTGCAAGGGGGGGTTTGGTGTAACAGAACAAAGGTGCCCGGAGAGGGTACCCTTCTGCACCAGACGGACGAGAGCCGTCAAGCTGAATCCCTCGACAAGCTTGCAGGATCTTAACGAGAGTGACCTTATTGCCAAGTATGGCGAAGGTTAGAGGGGAGGAGGGAAGAAAGTGGTGAAGAGCTTCACCTCCACCTGGAGCTGGCTGAGGCGCCTCTTCAGGTCTGTGGTGTCCTCTCCAGAGCTCAGCTTCTTGTGGAAATCCAGCTCTGCATCAAGCAGCTCCTTCTGTGCCTGAGAACAGGACAAAGTAACACCATGACGGTTCCTCCAGACTGTATTCTGGACAGAAGACATCTGAACCGACGACTAGAGATGCTTCTATTGATCCTCAAGGTCAGCAGTGAGACTCACGTCTGTCTTGGTCTTGGGTTGAGCAGACTTGGCCGCAGAATTGCAGGGTGGCTTCATCTCGTCCTTCAGCTGGGAGATCTTGTTGGTCAACTCCTTCAGGGTCTTCATGATCTCTGCTCTCTCCTCTGGCTTCATGTTCTTGTTCTTCTCGAGACGGTTTATCAAGACCTTGGGCGTGATGAGGAGACACACATCCACTAATCTGCAGCCCACCATTTATTTCACTGCAAATAACCAGCGAACCCAAAGATCATGGGTTCGATGACACAGGTGGGACTGCATCCTGGTCACCATCACCTGCCCCAGACTGAGACAGAGAAGAATGACACCCCTGGTCACACACTGACCTTCTGACACTCGATCTGCTTCTCCACCATCTCCTGCTTCTTCTTCCTCATGTCCTGCTGCAGCTTCAGGGCCTCCTGGAAGCACATGAGAGGGGCGGTCAGACACAGCGGCAGCCTGAGACAGCCACGGCCTTCAGACAGAGTCCCAGGACTCACCTGCTTCTTCTTCAGAGCCTCCTGGGCCTCCAGTGCCTTCCCCACTTTCCCCAAGGGCTTGGGGGGCGTCCTGTTGGCCGGCGAGCCGTAGGCTCCCTTCTGCAGAGTCGCAGACGCAGTCATGGCCTAAATTAGAGCAGGAGATGGGAGGGAACAAGCGAATGCTTCAAGGTGCCGTACTGATCAAGACATAAGAAGCAAGTCATCCACCCTACGTGATGGCGTGAAAATGAAAGAGTACAAAGTACTTGCATCAGGCAAAAGTTGGTAAAAAAATAAAATAATTAAATCCACTTTCTTCACTCTGAAAGTGTGAGGCTTATTTACATCTTACAAAAGCCCTTTGAATCAGCAGACTTAATCAAACCAGACAATTGCTTTTTTGTAGAAAAGTGCTGAATTATTAAAAGGTATGAGCTTTTATGAAGTGTGCCGACAGGCGAGTGCGGGCGTATCAGCGTGATGGGCTAGTGCCATCGTTCGGACGTGCTCAGGTGTGCCATGTGTCCGGATGTTACTCGTAAGTGACCCTTTCACACTGAACTGGGCAAATCCCCGATAGACCCCCCCGCCAGGTCATGTGCTCAGGCGGACAGCAGAACAGATCCTAAACCCACGGATAAACTCAGAAGCCAGAAACTTATCAACGATCTTTTTTGAAAATAATCCTGCCTACAGCAAAGCCGGCGTTACACTGTCTTCTTACCGGTGAACCGTCTGCCGCAGGCTGCAGCGGATCCGCTTGGTTCCCCGCGGCGCCCCCTAGGCGGTGCTTGGCCGTCTTGTAGAGCACGTAGGGGCCGGGGCCATGCTGTTTGTTTACAGGCTTTAAGAAACACGGGTGGGGGAAGTAGGTGTTCAGTTGGCACTTCTGCATAGCACACGGGCCGAGCCGCAGGCCGGACTGGGGCGTGACATGCGCCACCATCATTAAAGAAGCAGGCGGAGATGGGGCTCAGGGCCTGAACATCTCACCTTGTGGGGGCCCGCGTGCTGGGGCCCGGCAGGAGCGCTTGGACCCGTGCTCTGGCCCGCGTGCTGCTCACTATTCTCCCGGTGCCAGTAGACGCGGATGAAGCGGTTGTTGAGCACGGCCTCCGTGCAGGATATAGCCCGCCGGGCCTCGTCGTTGGCCGTGTACTGGATCAGCGCCGCCTCTGGGTCACCTCCAAACACCACCTGGGGGGGGGGGGGGGGGAGTCTCCTTTGAGCATGTCCCCAGTGTGAGGCCATCACGGTGCCCCACCTGCGTTTGTGTTGCCTCCAAACTGCTGGTCTTTCAGGAATTACGATAAACAAATACATAGAACAAAAAAAACCCCGGAGACGGCCCCCTTTGTCCCAGCGGCCACCAGGAGCATCTGAAGCGACGGAAGAGCGAGTCGCACCTGAATGTTGACGATGGTGCCAAACTTGCTGAAGTGCTCGTTTAACTTGGTGATGTTGTTGAGGTCGCGAGGGATCCGACGGACCTCCAGCTTAGTGTTGGCGTAATGTGTCCGCTTCTGGAAGCCGGCCTTGTGCTGGTTGTTGAAGTTTGGTCTGCATGAACAAAACATGATGAGGCTGCCGCCTACTGGTGGGGGTCTGAAGTGTAGGAGAACTATAATTATTTTAAGGCCCAGTAAGTGCTCAGATTAACAACTTCAAACGCGGGCAAACAGAACAAACAGGAGACAGTCTAGATTGTTCAAGACACCATAATAAACCAGGAAAGATACAGGGGAAGGACTCTGACTTACTTGCCCACCCAGGGCTTCTTGGCTGGGGGGGCCTCCAAGGAGCTGAGGGGCCTTTTTTTGCCATCCTGGTCGCTGCCATATCGGGGGGGGGCAGAGGGCACGGCCGACACCGAGGGCTCTGTCTGGATCACGATGTTGGCGGCTGGGAGAGGAACAGGCAATATGGAGGGTTAGGGGCAGCTGGGAAGAGGAACCGCGAACAGACAAGGTGACGACGACGATGATGAAGATGACGGCCCAGGCCATACCTCGGGAACCCTGAGTGTCCATGTCCCCAGAGGTCAAGCCGATGAGGTTGGGCCTCTGGGTCTGGATACGCGGGATGAAGTGCCGGTACTGGGGCCGACTGGACACGGTGATGCCCGGAGCCTCAGGGTTGTACGGCTCCTGCTCGTAGTTATCTGTGGGAGGAGCCAACGCAGTGCAGTTACGCGGTCAGCCACTAGGGGACCACTGCAACACCACGAGTATGATTAAGTGAGGAAAGGGTAAATATATATATAGCCCTGCTTGTTTGCAAACAGCACCCCCCTGGCGACTGATGTTACTGCATCTAAAAATTTAGCTTGGGCAATCAAACAGCAGCTCCAAGCTTGCACCTCCAGCTTATTAGTTAATTAACTTAAAAGTGTTAAAATGCAAAACCGACTGGGAGATGGGATCTGGCCCATTTCGGAAGATCGACACGGTGGAAGGAAAAAACAAAAAAAGCACTGGCTTACACTCTGGCAGAGGGTACTGGGGGTGCGACGCGGTGGGGGGCGCCCCCACCCCCGGCAGTGCCAGGGCAGACATCCGATTCGTGCCAGAGTGCTCGCGGACATCTATCGCACATGTGGGCATTAAAGGCGGCCCTGTGGAGGCAGAGGGGAGGGTCTTAGGCTGGTACACAGACACACAGGGGGACCAAGACCAGCCAAGACAAACTCACAGCTGTCTGCAACAGAAATGACGTCAGGACAAGACTAACCTTAAGGAAAAAACCCACACACAGTTCATATAACCAAACCAAACGCAAGATCTTCGGCATTTTTAGTTTTTAATTGAATTAATAGATTTGAATCAAATTGAGGTTTATATTGTCGGGTATTATAACAGGTTTTACTACATTCTGGGGATATTTGCTGGTCACAACATTAACAGATAAACACAAACCTGTGCACGCAAGCATACAGAGAGGCAGACACACACACGCACACGCACACACACACACTTCATACGGACAGCCTCTCCACACTTCAAGGCCGTTATTTACAAAAAAAGAGCGTGAGTAATGAGGCACCTGCGTGTGTGTGTATGTGTGCGAGTGTGTGTGTGTGTGTGTGTATGTGTGCGAGTGT